TTGTCAGATGTCTCCATCTATAAATGTGTTTTAAGTGTAGTTTCATGTTTATGTAAAGTCAAAAATGACCCAATCAGCCTTGTCTGATTAGAAGGTGCCAAGTCAAGAATAGTGAGAACAAGCTAACTTCATGGTGCTTTCTGGTCATCCTATGGATTGGATATTTGTCTTTTATATCTAACTTGCGTCTCTACTTGAAATGTGCCTGTATGCTGTTGTTCTGCTCCCAGGCAACTCCCACATCATAACCATCCAAGAGTATGCCCCAGCTGACTGTTCTACTCAACTAATTTTCAGACTTCTATGGCTACCAGTACAATATAAATTTACTGTGACACATTTTAATGTGATTTAGATTAAGTCTTAATTAAAAATGCTGCTGAACTAAAGTGTGATCTAGAAATGAAATACCTAATGATTTGTGAAAAGCATTGAGCAAGCTCCAGTGAACAAGCAAATTAGTACAAAGCACCTGCTAGTGGATGATGTCAGTGCTACTGTATCTGGGTCTATTGTCAAAGAAAGCCTATCATGCTGGCACCAAGAAGTAAAGAGATCTAACAGCAGAAGAGGAACTGAGGTTCAGTCAAGGGGCAGTTGTGATGTTTCAGAAAAAACATGGAACGTGCAGAGATGATACCTGAGTTAAAATTTTACCTCTTCGACTTTACAGTTGTGTGACTTTAAGAAAATTACTTTACCTACCCGAGGCTCAGTGTTTTCATCTATAACTAGGTATAACGTGGAATAAAAATGCCCCCACAAGGTGTGGTGGTGATTAAATGGATAATTAGTACCATAATAACATGTTTGATACTTAGGAGAGTCTTCATATTGGTGAAGGGCCTGAACACATGGAATTCTCTTCACTCCCTCCTGAAACATCACTAACATGACAAGTTAAGCAATTATGTATTATAACGAGCTATATGGAAAAGATAAAAGCAAGGGAGATGCCACCAGATGAGAAATCAATAAAATTTTCAAGAATTTAAAGTAGGTTATAGGAGTGTCAACTGGTTTGACATAAATAAGAAAACTAGAACCTACATCTCTACAGATAGGACACAGCAATAAGAATCAAGCCATTGGGGTGCCACAAAATCACAGGGGCTCAGGAATTGAATGAATGACGTACTCTTCAAGGCTAGAGGCAGGACTGGCTGGAAGTCTGAAAAGCCATTAGAATGTCAGATGCCCCACCCTACCATAAGACGCAGTGATTATTTTTGGAAATATTGAACCAGAGTGTCTCAATGATCAGGGACACTGGACACCACAAAAAAAGGAGTCAAATTCTGTACTGAAAAATAAGAATTAAGTAAAAGTTGGCATACTGAAGGGTGAAAACTCCATTCCCCACTCCTTTTTATTTTTTTGTCAAAATCTCAGAATGTTAGCAGAGAGATCTCTTTGGTAAAACCGACTTGAGAAAAGACCTAAGATAGTAATATTCAGGGGTCCCTCAACAAAACGGCCAGAGCATCCTACCTGAGTACCACATAGTTGAGTCCACTAGTCAGAAAGTTTCATCTATACCCAGGAAGGTTCCAATCAGTATTTTAGTGTCTTGTTCTTAAATAGGAACAGACAACCAAGGATCAGCAGCATTTGACAAAGACCAATGTAAAAATATGTAAGGTACCAAGATGAAATAGATACCAAATTCCAAACTGAGCTACAAGACATTCCTCCAAACAGATAGCCAAAGACTGTTTGCACAATGCTTCAATTCCTCACTCACACTGAGAATACAAAACAGGTAAAGAAAAAGGAAAATTGGGAGAGAGATTCCTTTAGATAAAACTGTGCTATCTATTTATTTCCCACCCCCACCCCCCATCACCAAGAGGGATGAGGTATGGTCTGCAATAACCTCAGGTCAAGAGAGGGACTTCAATGGGACCACTCAGAGAGGAGGACATGTCTGCCTTGCCATTAGTGGGAGAGAGCTTATGGTGTCTGACTCAGCCCTGGAAAAAGTCCACAGGAGAGTCAGGCTGAAGGGGTTGATGGCAGCAGAAGAGAGAGACAGCTGAAAATTAACTGCAATTCCATTGACTTCGAGAGAAAAGTACAAGTTTCCTGTGGTCCTTCTATGAAAATTCTAGTGGAAGAGATGATATGGAAGCATTTTAATTATTTCAAAGGGATCACAAGGAGGGAACAATGAAATCTCCATGAAAAAAAAAAAAAATCTCTGTAGGATGGACAGATCCTCAAAGGAATGTGAAAAGGGGAGTATAGCTAGCCAAGACATGTAAAGGGAAATCAGGAGTTCACTGCTGAACCTTTACTTAATCCACAAAGCATCCAAGAAAAAAAAAGTCAGAGTTAAATGTTAGCCAGGCCTGGAGAGTGTAACACCAACTTAACAACAATCCTAGACAAGTTAGAACTTTCCTGCTTTCCATTCTCATCTCCTTCCTCCCCAGGGTTTCTACCCCAGACGGGCCACACGTCAAGATCAGCAATAAGGATGAGGGTGGTGGATG